GCGGTACGCGTCGATATGTATGCAGGGTGGCCCGGTAATCGTGGCACAACCGGGAAGGGGATGATTCCTCCTTTTGAAAACATAAGTCGAAGATGTAAAATACAAATTTTTCACGCACTTTGTTTCTTGGAAACTTTAGTTAGCCGAGTACGTGAGCATTTAACTAAGACGTCGTTGAACGGATCTCGTTTCTTTTTATACAAAGTATTGCTCGCGTACTCGGCCAACTTTTCAAGTCGACTTTCTCGGAAACAAAGCCTCACATGAATAACGAACTTTTATTCTACATTTTCGATTAATTTTCTCAAGGAAGGGATTATCCCCCTCCCGCTTGTACCACGATTAGCATCACAGAGCCATCTTGTATATATTTTTCTTGCCCCGCGTTGCCTATCGTTTGCAATGTCGCACGACGGCGGGCGACCATAATAAGGATAAGGTCCAAGTCCGCGTGCCTGGTCAGGTACGATCGGGATCTTAACGTCGACTTAGCGTGAGCCTTATCTAGGCGAGCGCGAGCCGCTACTTCGTCCCCGCTCGAAGAGTTCCTACGGCTCCTTCGCGAAGATTCGCTTGATTTTGGAGCGAACCGAGCGCGACCCGATCCGCTTACGAACGCTCCCAACATGTTTTGCCGCTAAGGTTGAGGTTGTGTGTTCGGTCGTGGCGGAACCGCCGCCCATATCAAGACCTCTCTCTCCCTCGCTCCAGTGGCAACGTAAACTCGGGCCACCTCAAAGTCGGACGACGACGTTTCAGAGATCGTTTCAAAGCGTTGCGGCAAATCTCTGGAACTGGTTTCCGCAATAGTTTTGGTGAATGCCAAAACTCTGATGGCCTTCACGGAGAAGAATCATTTTGCTGTTGCAGCCAAACCATCGTGGCTAAAGCGATCAAATTTAGTCGGCATATCCAAATAAACGAATTATTCGTAATCAGAGCGGAAACAATCCTTGTTGTTAGCATAGAAAGTATTCTGCTGAGTGAATCTGACCATAGGACGCGTTAATTTGCCGTTAGAACAAAATAGTGTTTTCCCACATTTATTAATTTGTTTTCCCAGCAATTTGTACATTCAGCAAAATAATCCAGCGAATAACAATTAATACTCTCGACAAGTCGTTTTGCTGTTCACATAATAACCGGCAGATTTCGCTGCAACAACATAAAATTAGCTGTGCGAGCAAATAATTATTTTTTCTCCATTTTATAGCGTCGCCGCATTTTCATCAATAACGTCCTAAATAATAAATATTTCACAACCTTAAATTCTTGAATCTAGAATCGATTGGACTACAACACTTTGACGAATGCAATCATTTTCAATTAAAAATATTAATTATTAACAAGGTTATTATACAAAATGGGGAGGCCATAATACCAGTTTATCCTCGATACTATTGTAAACGTTCTTAGAGGGCTGCGTCATAAAACGAAAATAAATGCAATTATCTCTCTCTCTCTCTCTCTATTTTTCCGTCTTTCGCTCGTTTTGGTGTGGAACTACGCCGATCGAACTTGAAGATTCTTTCATTCCTGACCGAGCTTTTCGCTCGTCGATGCGGGCGCATCGAGAGCGAGGAACACGCATAGTATCCTGCGCGGCGATAAATCAGAGCAGCTGGACGTGAAACGCGCGGCTCCGCGAAATTCCGGTCGCCGCGGACACCACGAGAACGCGCGCCCCGCACGGTTAAGGAGGTTGCACGCGGTATGCCAGACACTCCGGTAACGATCCGAGCGGGTGTGCAGCTTCTTGGCAGGCTTCCTTGCGTGGAGGGAGGGACACTTTTTACACGGCCGCTCCATCCCGCCTCGCTTCTGGAGCTACGTTTGCCAACACCCGCCACTGACCTAACAAATCGAAATCCCGAACCGGGACGCGCCGCAACCGACGACCTTGAGCGAGGATGACTGGAACACCGTGTCACGAGTTCCAAACAGCGCGTCGCATAGCTGAGATTCGGGCTTGTCCAAGTGGAGCAACGGACCGACGCAGGGGGTGGCGCGCGATTTTTCGGGATCCCGCGCTCTCTCGCTCCCCTCCGACACTTCCTTCTTTCTTTCGCCACGAACGAGTCGTCCGTCAGGTCGCCCTCGATCCATCCGTCGGGGCGACGCCGCAAATTGGAGTAAGTCGCTTTCCCATCGGCACCTGCTAAGCCGAGCGCAGCGCGATAGCCCGGGATGGACGGAAATCAATATGTGTTCAGAGTTTACAGAGCGGCTCCGAGTTTCCATAGGTGAATTCCGCGGCTGGATCTCCCGAATGGATATCGACGAGGCCCCCGCCAGGTTATTTAATGCGGCCGACACACACCGGTTTTTCGAAATCTCCGCATTCGTCACACCGGGACGGCGCGACGGGGCGTCTCCGCGAACTCCGCAGCGGAAAATGGGAGAAAGTCAAATACAATAGCGTGATTGGAGCGAATCTTCCTTTGATTCAACGACGAATATCATTAACCCTCTAACATCGGTTGGGGTTGGATGCGATCCCGCGGCTCGTTTATTTGACAGCGTGCACACGTTGTTTCTCTTCTTCAGGAATGTCTTATTATTCACTTCTTTTACCCATTTTATGCATCGATTGTGTGAAAAAGAAACTAAACAAAGCACGGGGTCGGATCCAACCCCGTTTTCTAGATACGTTGGAAATCCATCTTGCCGTTGGAGGATTAAAACTACTACGTTATTTATTGTTTCGATAACTGAAGTATTTGTTCCGATGATACCGCTGTTGAGTCGAGAAGATTTATTCCAATTACGCGTGCCGTTGGAAATTCTTTTGATTCAACAACCTTTTCCCCGTGTAAAGAGAATGCGACCCTACGTCTCGTTTATTTTACAGCGTGTTGAATCGAGAAGATTAACTCCAATTATGCGTGCGGCTGGAAATTCTAGTGTCTCAACGGTACTTCTTTTCCCGTGCGGAGAGGATAAGGCGATGATTTTTGGGTCCTCGGGATGAAGTCTCGGGTATATATTCGTATATGCGGGAAACATCGTTACGCGAGATACGATCTCATTTTCTCGACGAGGCAACGCGAGCTACGAGGAACTAAGATAATAACGAAGACGGAGAAGGTCGCTAAGGAGGCCGCTTAATAAGGATCGCGACGTACAAAAGCGAGTGGCTGTGAGCCTGTAGGAGACGATACAGCTTTCGAGCGAGAGATGATCGCGTTACCACCGGGTAATCGAACCCTTTCACCGTTCCTCGCTCCTTTCTCTCTCTCTCTCTCTCTGTCCTTCTCTCTCATGTCTATCTATCTCCGCTCACCCCTCGTCCTTCCCTATTTACCCCGCGTTATCATCGTCTACGTTCTCCGTAGCGACGTGCGCGATCTCGTCATCCCTGACGGGCCTCGTTCGCGCTGCTCGGCGATCCGATAAACGACGTACATCGAGAAGCGTAAACCCTTTGCTTAGAAAGGGTAAATGATTTTTTCCACGAAGCCGCCGGCTGGTCTATCACGTCAGGGATCAATATCGGCGGAAATAATACTTCCATCGCGTCACGTACCGAAGTTGCCGTTTGCGTTCGGAATACGATATAACAGGAACGATCTCGGCCGGTGTGTATGTGTGCGAGATAAATCGCTATCGGCGCGCCGACGATAATGCATCGCATTTACACGTTCTCATCTATCCGCGTCACGGAGTCGCGCGACTCCTCCGGCAACAGTCGCCGGTACAACTCGTACTTTTGTCTCTTCGTGTTCAACATAAATAAAAGAAGAAAAGCGTGTTCCGTGTTCGGGGAACGAGCATGAACTAATGCAAACGCGTTTCGCGCACCGTCGAGTGTTGGTCGACGTCATGCATGTTGTATAATGTCGTGCATCGATGCTGTCCCATTCCCTACACAGAAAAAAATCAGTCTTGAATCAAGAATAGATATTCTTATGTATGAGCAAGGGTATTTTAATTTTCTTCGAAGATTTTCAGTCCCGACTTGATTGTATTTGTATTGATGCAAGCATCACTTGCGCTCAATTCAAGACTGAAAGTCTTCGAGGAATATTATAATATGCCTACTGATATAATATCGATCGTTGATTTCAAACTATTTCTTTTCTGTACAGGCGTAATATCGGAAATTTCGAGTTAGGCGTATCGTTTCTGAATATTCATCAATCAAGATGCATCATGATTGGTGATTACTCTGTGAACCGACAAGGATGGTTCAAAGCAGCAGTAATGATGCACGAATATTCAGAAACGATGCATCTAATTCAAAATGTTTGATATCGCTATATCTAAAGAATAGGACAGCATTAATACACGGCACATTCTTTAGACGGAGAGTTACACGGTTTTCCCATTATTTATTTATTTATTTGCCTATTTATTTTATACGGTTCAATACTCTTCGGTGTACAAAAGAAAGCGAAATATAATTGATCGCCAAAACGAAAGAATAACGGTTGTACAATTTGTGCTGCAATTACAAAAGTGCACGGACAAGATTGCGCCTAAAGAGGATCGAAGAATTTTGAAAAAGGTCAATGGAACTTGATGAGTATTCATTAGTTAGATCACACATTCCATTGATGAAATTGTATCTTTCATAAGCGGTCCGGTGAAATTCGACATGAAAGACGCGCGTATTGCTCTGCGGGTGGAAGCGAACGGACTGTAGAATTTCCGAGTCTTATACATAAGGTTAAACAATCGCAGAAGTGACACTAATTATAATGACAAGGTTCTAATGGCTTCAATTATAACAGTTCCAATCTTACGTATACATGCGAAAGGCTAACAATTATGTAATAGTAAAAAGTTCCAATCTCTAGGGAGTGGTGCAGCATACACGACTGTACCAGCAAGGTTAAGTAGCGCATGATCAAATTACCATCCCACTCGTGGGCTAGAGATAGGCTCAGACCGATGACGTAACAACAGGCGGGGTGTTTCGCTCGCGGGACTGAAACAACGGATGCGCGAGCGAGCGAGTTCCCCGACCCGGCGGCAGGTGAGGTGAAAAATTCACTTACGATTTTGTGATGGAGATGCTGAAGCTCCCTCTCGGTGACTCTTCTGCGGGAGAGCTCACGCTGCTCCCGCCTGTACTGGCTGTACTTGTAGAAGAGGTACATCCCGGGCAGAGCCAACACCACCAAAGGTTTCATCAAGCCGGTCCGTCCGCTACCACCGCGAACACGTGGCTCGGGTGGCTCGTCCAAGTCCTCCAGCTGGCCGGCCCCTTCGGCAACGGCCGGCACGGTCGCACCAGCTGCTGGCATCCTTCTGCAAGACACCCAAGAACACTCTGTCTCCCTTTCTTTCCCCCCCTCTCTCTCTCTCTCTCTCTATTTCCTCTTTCCTCTCCGTTTCTTATTGTTACGCGCGAGGTAAACTGAATTAGCGATCATCGGTAGAAAGTCATCTCGTCCCGAACGTTTCCGAAGCGTTTCCCCGCGTCTGGGGAATGAATTCGCGTCGCCGGAGATGGAGGAACGGCGCACGAGAGGACTCCGCTGGTGACCGACGTCAGCGTCGACCGCGCGCCGCACTACGCTAAACAATGTGCTCGTCCCGGTGCATTGTGGCTCGCTGAGGAAATCGAACCGTCACGCCGGATATCCCGCTCGTTTGGAGAACATCCGGCGAGCCGGAGGAGAAGCATCTGGCTCGATTACTCCGCCTGTGAACTCCCTTCGCCTGCGACTTTTCTCCCTCACGCGCGCGCTTCTCATTCATACACTTGCCATTTCGATCCCCGTCATTCCGAACGTAGCCGGCGACGACGCGGGATTTCAGTTTTCCGCCGGCGAACGAACGCGGCCCGGATTTCAGCTCGACAAAGGAACCCGGCTATCGGTTTATTGGTTTCTCATGAAATCACTTTTTTCCTGCCGTTTCCATCGCGCCGTCGAGGATGCGGCAGCGGTCGCGCGCACGTCGGGGGTTTCACTCGTCGCGTATTCCGAACCCGTATTCTCCCTTTCCTAGATCTCGTCTCTCGTTTTTAGGTATTTATAATCCGCTTTCACCCTTCTCCCCCCTCTCCCTCTCTTTCTCGCTCTGTCTCGTTTCGCCGCGCCACGACGTCCGCGGAAAAACGGTCTCTCCCCCGCATTCATCCTGGAATCTCGCGACTTTAATCCCGCGCCTGTCAGAACGTTGATCATTTCCGCGATCTCTCTTCAGCTTTCGCGCTCCTGCGTGATGTAGGAGGCCGTCGCTGAGAATAGAGAATTAGGCGCACCACCGGCGGATACGCTCGACGCGAGCGTGCCGACAAATTTTCCGAGGCACCCCGAAAGACAGAATCGATCGCGTCCCGTTTTCGAAGGGATCTCTCGCCGACGGTGGCCACGGTCTCGACTCTACTCGAGCCCTCAGCGCTCGTTTACGAGAGCGTCTCGTCGATTATGATAAATCGAGGAGCCGGCGCGATTAAAACGGCAATCACTCGCCAATCGTCTGCAATTATTCTGCCGGCCATCGCGAAACTCGATCGCCGAGACAAGCCGGCTGACAGATGTAATTGCAGGCGTGCATCGGACTTGAATGAAATCTCGTAATCTACTTGTCGGTCATTCACCGTCTATATCTGATTCGGGCGTTTACTTGCCGTTCTATTCTTAAACCGGCTGCTCTAGAAATACACACACACACACGGCTCGCTCTATATCGGCCGAGCCAGGTCGTGCACCCCGCCTCGTTGCACCCTGTAGGAAGATGCAGCGTCGGTGGTGCACGCGTGACGTCGGGGCTCGCCTGTGTCGGTGATTTCCTGACACAGCCGGGGCGCAGTCGGTGTGCATATCGCGATAAGCGACGATAAGGACGGCGAGTCGGTCACCGGCGGCGAACCTCGGTGTCTCTGACCAGTACACGCGGTTTTTGGAGGAACGCCTCGAGGAAGTTCGCCGTGTCTCGGAATTACGCGGAAAGTTCAACGACGACACACGCGCGCGAAATAATAAATAATACATTCAGCGGTGCGTGCGTGATTGGCCTGCTTTGTTGCATATTCAGGCGCTGCGAGACGCGTTTTTTCAACGAATTCGAAGCGGCGTTTGCGAGTGACCCGCTCGAAGATGCACGTGGAAGAAGGATTGGTTGAATTGATATTACAATGAATGTGTTTACACGGAAAAATGAGTTTGGACGAAGGGGAGAACATTTCCAGTACCGATGAGGCAAATTTGCTTCTCACGACCGGAAACTCGATTTCCTCCGGCTGAAACGCGTTTGTTGTTGATTGTCACGTAGAACCAAACTCATTTTTCGCTGTGGGTTGAAGGGAGTGAAATTTCTGATTCTCACGAACTACATTCGGCTCTCAGAAGGACCGGCAGTCCGGTCTCCTTCGACGGCCCGTCCATCGTCGCGTTAATTCCAAGCCAATCTTCCTTCTCCCGCGTGAGAAACGTCGAAAACCCCCGAATTTATCCGCGGCGGGGTCCGATGAAACGGTGATCGCGCCAGGGCTGGTCGTCGCGCGGTGAGCAAACAGCGATACGCCGGGAGCCGGTGCGGGATCACCGGGATTCGAATTTCCAATTACCGCCGTCAGCCGAAGACGGAGGATCTTCTAACGCGGAATAATATTAGCGCGGTGTATATCCGGCAGCCCGGAAATTCGCCGGGCGCTCTCGGCGGCCGCCGCGCGTCGCGAAATTACGTTCGCCTGTTGAAAGTGATTACCGTTGCAGTTATTTCTGGCGGAAGGCGCGTGCAAACGATCGATACGTCACGTCGTCACGTGCGGGTGTGCGTTTTTTCTCTCTCTCTCTCTTTCTCTTTCCCGCACGCGCTGACAATTCGGCGACGAGCGCGCTAAACACGAAAGCCGATACTACGGGGGAGATAGGGAACGATCGGCGGCGATATACGCGCGATAGGACAGGTGTGTGTGTCGCTCACACGTGTTATCGCCATGGGAGGTAATATATTATCGGAAATGAATCGATATATCGACTCGTTGTTTTGCACTTCGCACTCGGCGCCGCGAAAACATACACCACCTGAGGGATTTCACGACGGTGGTGTGCGACACGGCGTAATTTCGCGAAGGACAAGGTCAGCCCCGCAAGCTTTTTACAGATTTCTCCTTTCATAGGAGATCATGGGATCAGAAGCGTTTTCCCAGCGGAGGGGCCTCCGGTCGAAGCTTTACCCGGCGAACCGAGCGCGCAATTAACCGCCGGGACTCGCGGTTGTCGCAATTCAAGCCGACGAAACGTCACGATCGCGGAATTAACGTTGCGCGCCCGACGACGCGCGATTACTCGATATAACTCGATACATAACTGTACAACGCGCGGAAATTGAGCTCGTTCGTGACGGTTCCCCCTCTCTCTCTCTCTCTCTCTCTTTCTCTCTCTCCCTCTCGCGCGCACGCTTCCAGTAAAATTCTAATCTGAATGTCGCGAATGATCGTCGGCGCACAAGTCATAAACGAGTTATGGGGTCAGAAAGAAAAAGATAGACGGAGCGAAAAAGATGGTCGGCGGAAGTACACTTAATACCCTAAATTCGGATAGATTACATGTCAGCCGCACCCCGGTGTAACGCGTAGCGAGGGGACGGTCGCGAGGAGCGGTCGGGATGTGTGTTCGAAGAGGTTATTACGGTTGTTGGAGCGCGCTCGAATAATCGTAGCTGATCTGACATCGCACGTACGTATGCAGTTCGCCTTGACACAACGTAACGGTTGGCGGTCGCGAAGCGAAGGACACCGAACATTGCGGGATAACATCGTGTTCGCGATACTCTACGGCCGAGTGCACGCTCGGCACCGCTATTTTTACTCGCCTTTCCCACTGTCAAGTTCCGTTCGATTGACGGCGACGCGCTATTAGAATCGACCTGGCCACTCTTTTTTTCGGTCTCTCGCTCGACGAGGAAGTATAATAACGATGTGACGCCGCCGGCTGAAAGCACGGCCCCGGCCGACGGGCTTCCGCGATCGGCGGGCACACGCGAGCCGAGAGGGATCGCCCGTGAGAAACGACACGAGACACGATCATTACTAACGCGGGCTACTCTCGGCTTCCCCCCCCCGAGGGAGCCGGATCATCGGCGGGCATCGATCTCGCTCGCGGACGCGAAACGCGTTATCGTCATGTGCTTCCGCGTTGATACGCCTCGCACCAGCCCGAGTGAGTGACGCATACGCGAGGAAACACGTCGCACGAACGGAAGTCGACAGCTGTGCGATGTATAGAACGGTTTTAAATCCACCGATGTGACGTAAGATTACGATTGCCGGAGAAAGAGCGAAGAAAGGGAAAGACCGAAGTCCCGGGGCACTTAGCGCGCCAGTTGCCGCCGTACCTCGCGCCCGACCTCAGATAAGGGAGCATCAATCACGAAGGGTGCGCGCGGCGGGCCGCGTGGCGCGGATTATGCGATCAGTTCTCTGTCAACTATCTCACACACACACACACACGCATATACGCGAGTAGAGCCGCGCGTTCGTTCTTCGCGCCCCGCCATCGTCTCGCCATCGATTCTCCGTTATTCAATTCGCGGGCCCGACCGCGGCCTCGGTAATTAGCCGGACGATAGTACATAAGCTCGACGCGCCTACAAGGTAAAATATACATGCGTTTCGTCATCGCTGACCGCAAAAAAGCGCTCCGGCGAGAGGCCGCGGTAAAGAAATTTTTCTGCGGCCGAGTTTCATTCATCCTCGCACGGCGCCCCCCTCCCCTTCCGACGGAGTGTAGCGCTCCGCGTAAGGCGTACCGCCAAGAGAGAGAGAGAGAGAGAGAAAGAGAGAGAGAGACACTACGTCTCTCGTCACCTGTCATCGTTCCCGCCAAGACGTGCGTGTACTGTCCGTCCACAAATCAAGCGTCGACCACCGACGCCGCCGCCGTCGCGCGGCGTCTACCCTTCGTCGACCTCGCGCCGATACATCGTAGTGGAATCGGTGCTACGAGTGAAAGGGTTATTTCCCCGCCTTCCACCCGGGGTCTTTCGCCGCGGACGCGACGACGACGACGACGGTCTTCGAAGAATAACCAGACGCGCGAGAACCTCGCAGCTAACACGTGCAACAACCCGGTACCGTCCGGTACTACGCTGAGAGATCTCACTCGGCAGTCACACTTACGTCGTCCTGTCTCACCCCTCGAAGAGCCGCGCGACGAGTCGGGCAGGATCGGAGAGTGAGAGAGAGAGAAAGAAATAAAGAGAGAGAGAGAGAGAGAGAGAGAGAAAGGAGGAGGAGTGCGAAGAGGATGGTCTGCGCCGGCGACACGCGCCTCCTCGTGCGCGCTCAGCTCAGCTCAGCCGAGACATCGCCGAGCCGCGCGACTGCCCTGGCGGTATACCGGCGGCTGCACTGGCGCGCCTGCAGCCAGAAACAACCCTTGCAAGCACTGCGCGCTCCGTGCACCCTCGCTCGCTCGCGCCCGCGGTTCATGCGCGCCCGGCCGGCGCGTCGGCCGACTTCCGGAGAACGTCGCCTCCCCCCTCTTTCCCGAGGCGCGAGCGACGGCTGCGTGACGCAATGCGTGGAGGAGCAGCGCCGTACCCAACGACCGATCGAAGCAGTTGTGCCGGCGTGGTGGCCGGGCAGCCACTGAAGGGACACGACGGGGCGATGCTGATTGCTGGCGACGCTGCTGCTGCCGCTGTAGCGGAGGCTGTAGTTGGAGAAGGATCGATAAAAGGAGAGGGAAGAGCAAGGCGGACGGGACGCCCGGGAAGAGACAAGGGTTGTGGGTATTCGCGAGAGGTCTCCTCTCCCGCGAGATGCGCTCCTGCTGCTCCCTCGGATTCGCTGAAGGAGTACCTTCGCCAATGTCGAGGTAGCTTTCTGTCCTCTCCTCTTCTCCTTCTTTCTCTCTCTCTCCCTCTCCCTCTGCGTCCCCCATCCCACCCCCAAGCTAACAATCTCACGTAGGGTCTACGGTATTCGAGTTTAGTGAACTTCCGACGGGGGTTTCCCGATAAATGTTCCGCTTTCTGCCGGGTATGTCCGGTATCGGATTAAAGGCGCGATAATTGATCTCCGCTGCGAAATAACGTTCGCCAAATTAACACGCGCGTCGCCGCGGATTTATAGAGTCCCCGCTACCAAAGCGGGCGAAATAACGTGCACCGTGGATTTGATGCGTTTTTGCCACCCTATCGTTTGTTCATTCCAGAGAAAGAGACGGATAGATGGAGAGGGTTTATCGTTGAGTCCTGGGTCAAGACACTCGGCATACGGAAATGAGAGAGAGAGAGAGAGAGAGAAACGCGAATGCTCGGTCAATGAGGAACTTGAAGCTCCCACTTAGCAAATTACCGGAAACCGAAGCCGATTCGTGCGCTCCTCGCGCGGCTCGCGTCGTTCATCCGAATCTCTCGAAGTGTCATTCTCGTAAAAAAAGGCCCGGAGATCAATTTCGGCCGATCCGGCCGCTTCGTTACGCGCCCTCCTGATGTATCTCGGCCGGCCGTTCTGAATCACAGCCAAGAGTTTCGAGCGAGACCATTTTTCGTGACGTTTGACCCGTTTCTATCGAACGGCCGTGACGTCATCGCAGGGAATGTCAGATCAATGGTCCCCGGGGAGTTGGCGACGGAGGCTCTCCCCTACCCCCGCGCCCCCCCACCTCCTCCCCCTCGACTTAGGACTGTTCTACGCGCGGTAGGACGCGCGCGATTATGCAGCCCACGCCAGTTTTCGGTCGAATGAAAGTTGGGAAAGGCCGTACGAGGCCAATAACGACGTCGCGGACGTCGCGACCGGGCGAGGTACGTGATGTATACAGATTGTGGAGGAGGGGGGGATTGCCGAGCGCGCGAAAGAGGCCTTTAAATTTACGTCGAGATTATGCACTCCTAATGTATTCCTAACGATCGTTCGGCCGTGAGCACGCAATCCGCGAGATGGGAAGAAAGCGATCCGCCGGGGATATCCCTTTAGAACCGCCTTTCTCTCGCGAGGCGTCCACCAGGACGGTGATTTAAACGCCGCTGGACCGCGGATTTAAATCGGCCGGACGGGAAGATACGCGAGCGCTTAATGCGCGCTCGACGTTACGTGTCAAACATCGACCCGGGTAACCCCGGTGGTGTATCGCCGTCGGCGATCCACCGCGCGGCCCTCTCCCGTGAGTGAGAACCGCTGCCACGACGTCATACAGAGTTCAATGACGTCACGGGGCGTTCGATACGAGAGCGGGATTTCGTAGTGGGGGTCGCAACACCGAGATGAGAATAAAGAAGAGCGCGATCCGGGCGCGCGCGGCGAGGAAAGCGGGAAAGCGGCGAGGGGGACGGCGAGAGACGCGTCAAACTTGAAGAGAGGGAGAGAGAGAGAGAGAAACTCGACGTATGCATATATGGAAAGAAGGGACTTTTCACGCCGAGCACGCATCGCCGCGTTATCTGGATCGTTATCGCATGTTATCGTGCCGCATTCACGCGGATAATACACACCGGCGGACGCACCTGTACGCACCTGAAACGTACGTCCTGCTACGTGTGCGTATTTGCGCGCGCTCTCTCGTCGCACGAGTATCGCTGATGTTTAATAAAACGAGCTCTCTCTCTCTCTCTCTCACTCGCTCGCTCGTTTGTTCGCTCGCGAGACT